AGAGGTCATACTCTGAGGTGCAATGATCTAGAAGACCTGATTTCAAGTACTGGCTTTGCATAGCATCAGTTTCTCTGTGCTTAAAATAAGGGACTTTCGATTAACATACCTTTGAATTCTGATCAGCAGCAGCATCATGAGGAGAGGAGGGCAGGAGGGTGGTCTATGTCAAGAGCATATATCCCTGCTCTGAGTTTTCAGGGAATCCCCATCAGCACACAGCAAAAACAAAATGGAAACGTGGAAACAAACAAGCCAGGAAATGCAGTTTGTATTCTGACAAGTATTTCCAGTTTTATTCACTCTGTACCTTTGCTAACATTCAAAGGTCTGGCTTTAACTAGGTCACACAATCAACAAATGAATCTTCTCATTGTGCTGTGTTTCTCAAATAAACTAGAAGGGAGGCTGACTCCTGTCCATGGCACACCCGGTGGGACAGTCTAATTACCAATAATATGCAGTGTAGGCTCAAAAGATTGTTATCCTTAGATCTGAAACATCTTCTTGACCAGAATAGAAGTGGATACAACTTGATACTACATTTTGTTTCGCTAAATCTATCACTTATGGAGGAATTTAATACCGTCTTGAAATATTTCTTATCCTTCAGAATCCTCTCAGGTATTCCCTTCTCAGTGAAACCTTCCCACAGTCAGAATTACCAGCCACCTTTTGTCACCCTGCTCCCAGTTACTGGAGTGCGCACCTCATGGCTGGACTCCTTCTGTTGTGTGCCTGAGGTCTCCCTCACTGAGTTATGAACTCCTGAGCCATTTGGATGGAAGAGAAAGAGTTCAGGGACTTGGAACCCAGGTCCCTGAGTGTGCACTGAGCCCTGCTCTGTCCTGGTCATTTGTGCCCAGGAGGCCATGGAAGGTTTTGACCTGGCTGCCCCACTCTGTAGTGGCCATGATCAGATGGGGTGTTGGGAGGGTGGTGTGAAATAGTGGGTGTGCAGCTGTCTCCCTTTTCTCTTGGCTTGGAGTAGGGCCCCAGATAAAGGCTTGCTCAGGTTCTCCTTAGGTGAGCTCAGGGATCATGACTTATCAATCCTTACAGTTCTAGCACTTCAGGAAAAGTTAGGCCAAGTGGGTGCCCAGTAAATTCTTTACAATTGAATTTAACATTCTCTCTTTTAAGGCGGTTGAGGTGTATTTATTTTAGGCATAGAAAAAATACAAGATGGAGAAGTAACTGTTTGGTTTTCCCCTAGTAGCTGATAGTGCATGCTTTTGTGGGATATACGAAATGTATCTTGAAGTAATTTTGAAAATTCTGACAGAGATTTATTTCTGGTTTGCTAAGTTTAGAAATCCTAAACGCAACAGGAGAAAAGATAAATATTACACAGGAACAAAAAACTATATTTATCAGGCAATTCCTAAAGGTTATCCATTTTTCTATGTAGTTATAGGTATAAACTTTCTGGAAGAATTAGAAAAATTGATAATAGTTACCTTTGGGAAGAGGGTCAAGGGCAGGGGAGAAGGAGACTTTTAGTTTCATGTTATATATTTCCATGTGCTTTGAATTTTTGGCCATGTAGGCATATTTGGGTTTTTAAATATACATACACACACATATATATATATATACACACACACACACACACACATACATATATAAATACATACACACACACACACATATATATATATACATATGTATGTGTGGGTGTGTATTAAGGATATTTGGAGGAATTGAAGGATGGGCCATTTTTATTTTACTCTTTTATATATTAAAATCTCTACTGAGTATTATTTTGGGGTGGCTTAAGTACAAAGTGCTAATGATAAATGTGGGTGCTCTGCCCTTTGTCAAGTCACTGAACCATCTCCATCACAGAAGTCAAGGGCAAGCTCAGCTCACTCAGCCTTTCCTATGTCTGAGCTTTAAGGAGCTCCCAGGGTGGGGCTGTGTTCTCACGCTACTGCCAACTGGGAAAATCTAGCAACGAGTTATGAGTCCTTAAAGTGCTGGAATCATCACTTCATAAATCTGTGGTCTGGCTTAGTGAAGATGAAGCTGCAGGTGACTGTCCAGAATGAGAAGAATGATAGGATATAGAGCCCAGTCCAGCAGGAGCATCATGCCTCCTACAACCAGAAAAGCAAGGGAGGTGCCCTCCTTTGGAACATAGCATGTCCTTTGTATTTTTTGTGAGGGAGAGGAAGAGAGAGAATCTTAAGCAGCCTCCACGCCCAGCTCAGGGCTGGTTGTGGGGCTCCATCTCACAACCCTGAGAGCATGACCTGAGCCGAAAATGAGTCAGAAGCTTAACCAACTGAGCCACCCAGGTGCCTCCATAACATGTCCTTTTTAGAAAGATACTGGATTTTCATTTTTCCTTGGCACCGCTGAGCTGTTTTCCACATTGATCCCCTTACCTCCCTCCAGTGGTTGGGAATGAGCCCATTTAGAATGTCTGAGAACAGATGGTGCACCCCTTGTCATAGGCTTGGGTAGAATGAAGCAGCATTTCCCCGTAGCTCCCATCGATCATATTCTGCTCCCCTGGACTTAACTCTGATTCTGTGACACCTCAGAGACCTTTCAAATTGTGCTTTCAGTTCTGGATGATACCGCCACACAGGGGCTGGGACAAACTGGGATGTTTTCCTAGGAGGGCAGCCAGGATTGTTAAAGGAATTGTAACCATATTGCACGAAGAATTGCTGATGGGTTGAGATGTAGTCTCTACTCACTTCTCTGTGGTCAGATCATTCGCTTCTCTATGCCAGTGAACTGGGTTCCATAGTATTAACCTCAGAGGGTTGTTGTAAGGAGCAAATACATTAATTCGTACAAACACTTAGAACTGGTAAGGGTTCAGCGATTGCTAGGGACGGGTTTTTGCCCTTGGGGCTGGAGCTACAAGAAAGACTCCCACATCTTTGGACTGCAACAGCCACGGGCCCCTCCTGATCTAAAGGAGCTCACCCTCTGGTTTGTAGGCATTTTTAAAGTCACGGATATTATTATGAAAAGCTTAGCTATTGATTATTCTTCTGAGAGGCCTGAGTAGCCGACTTGAGCCCCTTGTGCTGTAAATAAGAGATTTGCTGCATATGCATTTCCCTGGGTGAATCTGTCTCCTCTGGGAATTCCTTCGCCTGTGCTGATCCATTATTTAAATTGTCTTGTAACCAGGCACTGGGCTTCATGATATGAATATCTTTTTTTTTTCTTTTTGAGAAGGATGCTCTGTTTATGGTTAGCCCCATAATAAAGAGAAAAATATGTCATTCCCCATCAAGGCAAAGGATGGCCACTCACCCCTTTGCAGTACCCCAGTCTGAAAAAAATGGCTTCTGTTTTGTCTTATTGTACAATGACTCCAACATTTGCCATTCCTATACCTGCCTATACTCAGCTATATGCAGAGCAGCGTCCACATTGATGTCAAGGTCATCAGACTTTTCCAGGTGTTCTTCTGGGTCTTGTATTGATCCATTAACTGTGTATTAAGCCAATGAATTCAGGGTGAGTGTTTAAATAGGATATTTCCCAAACTAATCTAAAGCAATCAATCAATGTGTTTTTCTAACTTGTTACTTAGATGCTGCTGGGTATCTTGAATGTGCCTTTGAAAAGGAACTATTCAAGTGGTGATTTGGTGACGGGGGAGGCGGGGGAGGCGGGGGAGCAGAAATGGATGAGAGATGTAGTAGCTTTGTAAATACCACACCCAGATATAACAAACTTTCATTTATTAATTATGTCATTTCCCCTAGACATTACACACCGTTTTACAAACATCTCTGAAGTAACTTTTGCCATACCTAATATTATTTCATCTTAAGTAAGATTCGGGACAGGGCTTCTGGGGCCTATTTTTTTTTTTAGAAGAAGCAAGTGAATTAGACAAACCATAAGAGACTCTTAATCTCAGGAAACAAACTGAGGGTTGCTGGAGTGGAGGGGCTGGGAGGGATGGGGTGGCTGGGTGATGGACATTGGGGAGGGTATGTGGTATGGTGAGTGCTGTGAATTATGTAAGACTGATGAATCACAGACCTGTACCCCTGAAACAAATAATACATTATATGTTAATAAAAAAAAAAAAAAAGAAAATTCACAGGGCATCTCGGTGGCTTAATTAAGGGTCCGACTCTTGATCTCAGCTTAGGTCATGATCTCAGGGTTGTGAGTTCAAGCCCCCCATTGGGTCCCACACTGGGCATGGAGCCTACTTAAAAAAAAAAAAGAAAAGAAAAGAAAAATCACATGTGTGCTCACAGAGACACCAAGAGGAACATCGATCTAACTCTTGATTTTCCATTTGTTTCCACTATGGAAGTAAAGCCAACCATGGTAAGTTTAACAGTTCCCAAACTGCAACACCATTTTTCTTCTCCTTAGGCTCCTTAAGCTTCTGACTCCAAGAGAAAGTTTTCTCTTATAAGCAGAGTTTGAGACTCTTTTAAGGTTAACTCTTGTGGTCTCTAAACCTACCTTCCCTAGCTTCCCTTTCCTTCCCAAGGAAGGGCCAGGACTTTTAGGAGAGACTAGGGAGAAGGAACCCATGGAGTCCTTTAGAGAGTCCCTAAGAGTCTGGCCTTGACCCAATCATCTGCTGCAGGCAAAGATTTGAAGCAGACTGGGGGATTCATTTTGACTAGGAAGACCTTGACTCAGTCTCCCGTCTTGGCCTTGTCATGTGCTAAGCTGGGCATTTGGACCAAAGGCAACATGCCTGTGAGTCAAAGTCCAGGATTGTCCTGTGTGGAGACTCTTTGGGCCTTCCCCCTATGTACCCATTCTCATGAGCCGAGCAAGAACGTCACCATTTTGTCTTTTGCCTTTGTCATTGGTCATGACAGCTAAAGGTAACCAACAGAGCTTACTTTCCAACTTGAAAGGTGATTTGTATATCCTGAAGGATGTATTTTGTTAAAGGAATTTTTTCTTATACAAAATGCTAAAATGTGTTTTGTCTCTTGTTCACTTGATCTAGTGTGTTAATTACTGCAATCTCTATTTTCTGTGTGTTGCAGGCAGCGTAGTATACCTTGGCATGATGGCCGGGGCTTTCTTCTGGGGAGGACTGGCGGACAAAGTGGGAAGAAAGCAGTCTCTTCTGATTTGCATGTCTATCAACGGATTCTTCGCCTTCCTTTCTTCATTTGTCCAGGGTTATGAATTCTTTCTCTTCTGTCGCTTACTTTCTGGATTCGGGTAAGGTTTTTTTCCTTCAGACTTCATAGTAATGTGTTTATTCTTCATAATTATACATGTTCTCCACTCTAGAGGACCTCATTACTGAGAAATTATCCCTTATCACACTTCTTTCCCTATCTTCACATCTGCCTTAGGAACCATGATGCTAGTTCTTAGAAATATAAGTCCAGAAAAGAGAACACACTTCTCTGTTCTTGTGGCTGATTCTGGTAGTATTTTACTTCAGGAAATGCATTTTAGTTTAAATGGAATCTTGTTTCTCTGGCAGAATGCATTCATAAATGTATTTTTCTTCTGAAAATTGAGTTTAAACAAGAAATAGCCCTGGTCCTCCCTATTATGAGCTAGTGAAGGTTCAAACTATTCAGACTTGCTCTTAAATCCAGGATGAATGTGTCTCAAGCAAATGTTATTTTATTGATCTATGTTAACAGCATATTTAACTTGGTAGGAAGCCTACTTCTTGAGATGTAATATGTTCCATTTGTTAAGTTCCTGATTTTTGTTGAATTAACAGAAGTTGTGACGTTGGCCCAGTACAATGGAGGAGTATCATACTCCCCCTGCCCCATCCACGGGGAATACATTCCAAAATCCCCGGTTGATGCCTGAAACTGCAGATAGTACCGAACCCTATATAAACTATGCTTTTTCCTCTATATACATACCTATGACAAAGTTTAATTTATAAATTAGGCACAGTAAGAGATCAACAGCAGCAACTCATAATAAAATAGAACAATGATAAAAATATACTGTAATGAAAGTTATGTGAATGTGATCTCTTTCAAAATATCTTATTGTACTCTACTCATGCCTGTTCTTGTGATGTAAGACAGTAAGATGCCTATGTGATGAGATGACATGATGTGAATGACATAGGCTTCGTGACATAGTGTTAGGCTGTAACTGACCTTCTAATGATGAATCAGAAGGAGGAACAGTTGTTTCTGGACTGCGGTTGACTGCAGGGAATTGAAACCACAGGTAACTGAGACCTGGGAAAGCGAAACTGCAGAAAATGGGGGACTGCTGTGTAGCCAATGGTGTAGTCATTGTCTTTAAAGAGCTTGAAGCACCTGTCAACTCTACGAAGTGAATCCACAGCTGAGGAAAACCCCATATCTTAATTAGGAGAGTCCAAGATATTCTGCTCTGATAAGGAAAAAATTAGTAAAAATACAAAATTTCTGTTTGAGAACTTTATTTTCATTAGAGATGTTCTTTCTGAGGTATCTATCATAAGATGAATCTATAGGAATAATATCAAATAAAAGTAAATATATAGAGAAAGGAAAGGAGACAGTTCTGGGTTATGAACTTGAGAGGCATATCAGTTGTGGTTGTTGAGAGTGGTACCCACACAGCAAAACACAGTTTTGCCAAAAGAGAAGGTCAGAGAACGGCAACTTGTCTTCCTTAATTACCTAGAATAGTACTTTAAAATCAGAACTAAGCTGAAAAGGAATATAAGGCATAATAGAGAAAGACTGTGATCTGGTTACTTCAGGGGTACAAAGATTTCCAAATGCAAACTAATGGATCACTTTTATGACCATTCAAAATATTAAAAAAATTTTTTATATCATTTTATGCCACAAGATATATGTACATATTGAGACTGGTGGATTATTCACTGATTTTTCGGATGTGCTTTTTCATCTTTTCATAGCCCTTCATATGCTACATTCTGCACACAGTGGGCACTTTGCAAATATGTGACTAAGTCACACAAATCAGGAGCTTTCCTTAGGGTGAAGACATGCCGGTAGACCATTCCAGAAAACCAAGAAGGTTGGAAAGTCTGGGAAAGGGGCGCCTGGGTGGCTCAGTCGTTAAGCGTCTGACTTCGGCTCGGGTCGTGATCCCAGGGTCCTGGGATCGAGCCCCGCATCGGGCTCCCTGCTCAGCGGGAAGCCTGCTTCTCCCTCTCCCACTCTCCCTGCTTGTGTTCCCTCTCTCGCTGTGTCTCTCTCTGTCAAATAAATAAAATCTTTAAAACAAACAAAAAAAAGAAAGTCTGGGAAAGTGTAAAAATATTTTTTCCTTGGGAAAAAAATGATAAAAATCAATAATTCACTTTGTAATGAATGATAGAGAAAGGAGGCTTTCCCTTGTTGCTCAGAGGTCTGTGTGAAATTGGCTAAATACACAGATGACCTGGGGAGGTAATTTGGATCATGGATTCAAGGGGCTGCAGCAGTGTATTGGGGTAGAAGAAGAACATGTTTTATTTGGAGCTATTTGTTAAAGGACCTTCACAGTGTCCATAAGATAAGACATTCCTGCCACCAGGAAAGGCTAAGGCTTCTGTTTACTTTCTCTCACCTATGTAATACCACTGGCCTGTCAGGATAAGGCTAACAGCCTAAGTTCCGAGCTTCCCAGTCCTTTCCATTTAGTCTTATCAAGGAAATTTCAGTGATATCCATAGACTCAGAGGTACCTGACTGTGGTCAAATTATGATGGCAGTTTTAATCGCCAATTCTGGATTGTGACGTGGTCAACCCAACTGACTGCGGAGAAAAGGGCCATTATGGTGGTTGCGGAATACTCCAAACTAATGGACTGTCTAGAAGTTAATTCAAGGGCAGGACAGAAGCAGAGACTGCCTGGGTATATTCATGATATCATCGTCCTCCCTGTCACAGACAAATCATTCTTCAGCTAGCAGCTCAGGGCTGCTGACTTCTAAATAACATAATCTACCTGACAAAGCACAGACCGTGTATTGCTAACTCAGCTAGGCTCCATAAATTATGATACCAGAGGTTAATGCATTGTGCCTTTGCCAAGTTGGCACAGGACTAGGAGTCCAGAAATCCCAGTCCACCCTACCCCTGCCCTTTACTGGGGACCCTGGGAGAGTCATCCTACTTTTCCAGCCTGATTCTTCTCTTGTTTTTTTGGTTTTGTTTTTATTTTTATTTATTTATTTCCATTTCAAGTTTTTATTTAAATTCTAGTCAGTTAATATATACTGTAATATTGGTTTCAGGGGGAGAATTTAGTGATTCATCACTTACGTACAGCACCCAGTGCTCATCACAAGTGCCCTCCTAAATGCCCATCCCCTTGCCCACCTCCCTTCCAGCAACCCTCAGTTTGTTCTCTGTCGTAGAGTCTCTTTGGTTTGCTTCCCTCTTTGTTTTCCCCTTTCCCCAATGTTCATCTGTTTTGTTTCTTCAATTCCACATATGAGTGAAATCATAGGGTATTTGTCTTTCTCTGACTGGCTTATTTCACTTAGCATAATACACTCTAGCTCCATCTATGTTGTTGCAAATGTCAAGATTTCCTTCTTTTTGATGGCTGCATAATATTCCAGTGTGTGTGTGTGTGCGCGTGTGCGCGCGCACGCGTGTGTGTGTGTATTACCACATCTTTATCCATCCATCTGTCGGTGGACATCTGGGCTCTTTCCATAGTTTAGCTATTGTGGACATTGCTGCTATAAACGTTGGGGTGCAGGTGCCCCTTCAGATCACTACATTTGTATCTTTGGGGTAAATACCCAGTAGTGCAATTACTGGGTCATAGGGTAGCTCTATTTTTAACCTTTTGAGGAAACTCCATACTGTCTTCCAGAGTGGCTGCACCAGCTTGCATTCCCACCAACAGTGTAGGAGGGTTCCCCTTTCTCCACATCCCCGCCAACATCTGTCGTTTCCTGTGTTGTTTATTTTAGCCATGCTGACGGGTGTGAGGTGGTGTCTCATTGTAGTTTTGATTTGCACTTCCCTGCTGATGAGTGATGTTGAGCATCTTTTCATGTGTCTGTTGGCCTGATTCTTCTTTTGTGAGAAGACAGGGAGATTCCCAAGGCTGGGAGTGCAGCTGAGCGGGGAGCCCAGGTGGCAAAACAGTCAGAGTTTTGTGGGATCCAGGCGCTGAGGGGACCTGAGAACTGAAGTTGTTAAGGAAAATGGAGAAAGTTATCTTTCTTCCTCAGCCGAGTTTACGGGCCATGTCACCTATACACAACGTGTGAGGCACCACCTCCATGAGAGAGGGCTTTTCTCAGCAGCTCTAGAGTTGCATTTGGACACCCTGTCTCTGAATCTCTGGGCTGTCTCAGCCAAGGCTCTGCTTTCTCCAGAGATATATTTTTTTCTACTTAGTTAAGAGCTCCCTCTATCCCCATCTGATCTGGGTTTTAAATTGAGTAAAACTAAATGACCAAGGAAATAAGGGTTCAGAATGTTGGGATTCTTCTGTTGCAGGCCTCTGGCACTCAGACGCATCAACGCTCCATGCATGTCCCAGGAATGTTGCTCTCGCCATCTTTTCTGCTTCAGAGGTTCTTCTCCCAGAGCCCTTAGCGCTCAGGGCCTCAGAGAGGCCCTTCCTAAGACAGCCCTCCCTGCAAATACTTGCTTTTCATGTGTTTATTTCTTTCCTCCTCTGGATTGTAAATTCCAAGAGGCTGGGCTTGTCTGCTTAAGGCAAGGCAGGTTTGGTTACCCTAAAGGACACCAGTCCTGCCAGGGGTGGACCTATGGCTTTGGCTAGTTGATCATGGTGTTGTTGCCAGAAGTGAAATAGATGGGAAGTTTGCTGAAGTCTTACTTGATCTGTATTAGCAGAATTCTAGGTCAAGTGAATGAAAGTTTAACTTGAATCATAAAAAGTCATGAGTCTCCTGAAAAGCAAACTGAGGGTTCTGGAGGGGAGGAGGGTGGGGGGATGGGTTAGCCTGGTGATGGGTATTGAGGAGGGCACGTTCTGCATGGAGCACTGGGTGTTATGAACAAAAAATGAATCATGGAACAGTACACCAAAACAAATTATGTAATATATGGTGATTAACATAACAATAAAAAAATTAAAAAAAAAAAGTCATGAGTCTCAGGAGACAGTCATGGCCCATCAGTGAATTCCCAGACTCGAGCCAGTTTGCAGACCCAGAACTCCTCAAATAAAGGGGAGACTGGGTCCCTTGAGGAAGAACCCCAGGACCACTGACACTATAATACCTTAATCTTTCACTCAGCCT